GTACGCACTGGCAGCGACGAGGAGAAAGGAGTCGTTAGCAACGACTCCGAAAAGCAGAAAAGCCCGCGCGAGGGCGAACGTTACTCACCTGGCAGCGACGAGGAGAAAGGAGTAAAGGAAACCCCTCCTCGGCTGCCGAAGGCGAGTACCCCCTGCGCGGCACGAAGTCGGGCCGGCGCTCAATTAGGAAATTGGCGCGGCTCGCTGCCCGGAGGCGCGAGACGACGGAGGGACCGGCACCCAGGAAGAGCATCCGGGCGCGGAACGCTGCCGAGTGCGGCGCGATACGGCTGTCCCTCCGATTCGACTTGTGTAAACGAACTTTAAACTCGACGAATCCTCGGTCCCCTGCCCGCGAAACTCGACTGGACTTTCCCGGATTTTAGGCAAACTCGGATGCCGCCCCGACGCGGTTGTGCAGGAGCACGTGCGCGGCTGGGGGGCGGCATCCAACGTTGGCATTTCTGAGCCGAAACGCTACAAGTCTAAATATGAATAAGAAAGAATGAGTCGGAAGATGGTGAGGAAAGAAATTGTAGGATTTTGAAGGTTTTTGTACGGGAGTGGGGGTGGAGACAGGGCGTGGGCAAAAAACCGGAGCGGACGCAGGATCTAGAGCGCGACGGCGCGCGCGGGGCCGTCGTGCAACGAACGCCCGTCGCACAACATGGCGCTGAGAAGCGCGGGGTGTTTACGGATGTAAACGAGCCACGCCTCCGAGGACCAGCGGCCGAGAGCTTGGATGGTGGTCGGTGAGACACCCGCTGCGGCTAGGGAGGTCGCGCCTCCAGCGCGCATTGAGTGACCCGCGATGTCTCGTGGGAAGATCCCCCGAAGACGTCGCATGAACCACGAGCGCGTCGGCACCGTGGCGTTCGCGCGGAGCCAAAGCTCGGCGCGGAATGGGAACGCGGTGTCGCGAATTTTGAGGAAAGCGCAGAACGCGGCGTGGGGATCGGGTGCGCCAGCGGAGCGCTGAACGAGGACGCGGTTCCCCTCGAAGAACGCGTCCGCCTTATGCGCGGGCAGTAGATACTCGAACGTGTTGGCGTCGACTTTGACCGATGTGCGCATCGTAAGTTTGCGGTAGGTTTGTAGCGCGGTGTCGTCTGGCCAGACCAGTTCGCCTAGACGCAGTAGGGCGTGGAAGCCCGTGAGGAGGATGGCTATAAACAAGAGGTCGTCGTGGGAGGGGTTGAGGCCGAAAGAAGCGACCGCGCGCGCGAGCTCGTCCTTGGACAGCGCTCGCTTGCGCACGATAGGCTTGCTGCGGAGGCGTTTGAAGCCTTTCATGGTGCGCGAGACGAGAGGCGAGGCGCGTGCGGTACGTACCGCCGGGTAGAAGGGTTCGAGCTCGCTGCAGATCCCCGAGAGGTAGGAATCCACCGAGCGGGGCTCGATGTGGTGGCACATGTAGGTGGCGAAGAGACTCAGGGTCTCGGAGGTTGGTTCTATGGGGAACATGTGGAGGTGGACAAAATTTAGATAACTGTTTAATGCGGAGGAGTACGAAAGCTTGGTGCTCGAGTCGAGCGCATGTCCGAGCGCGATCGCGCGCTCGTGGACGAGGCGCTCTAAAGTCCACGGCAGCCGGACGGGCTGCCGCGACTTACGGGAGGCGGTAATCATAACTGCGCCGCCCCCAGCGCATCTCGAGGGGGTGTAAGGTGGAAGAGGGTGATGTCAGGGACGCGCTCTCGGACAAGCGCAAGCTTGCCACGGGAGAGCGCGTCCGCAATGACGTTCAGCTCGCCGGGGATGTGGTCGACGCGGACGTCGACGGCGCACTCGACCATGACGTCAACTGCGCTCTTTAGGATGGGGTTGTAGGTGGGCGACGCTCGCAGGGAGTTGAAAACAGCGACACTGTTCGAGTTGTCGGACAGGATGGCGAGACGCTTGATGCAACGTCCCGCCTTGCGCCAGTCGCGGGCCTTGTGGATGGCGGCGCAGATAGCGAGGGCCTCGAAGAAGAAGATTGTCTCAGTGGGCGCACCGTCAGGAAGCTCGCAATGGAAACCCAGTCGCAACCAGGGGAAATAGATCCCCAACCCGTGGCCCGATGCGTCGGTGAGGGCGAACTCGTCGCCCAGAGAGCCCTGAACCAAGTCTGCGGGGGACCAAGCGTTTGCGGACAGGAAGTGCACGCCAGGGGACTTGAGGACGTGTGAGCGCAGCCACTGCAAGTCGCGGACGATGGCAGCGTTGACGTAGATGCCCGCGAGGCGGTCGGACTTCCCGATCATCTTCTCGTAGACGTTTGAGAGCGCAGGTTTGAGGAGAGGGTACACGTTGAAGGCCCAGTTGGCGTAGCCAGTGAAAGCCTGGAACTCCGCGAGGGACCTCCGCCTGTTGCCGGGAGTGATGTCGCAGAAGGAGTCGATGGCGTCGAGGAGGCGTGCCTTGCCCTCGTCGGGGAGAGTCACCGTCATTGCGTTGGGGTCGACGTTGAAACCTATGATGGGCAAGTCCGTGCCATGCAACTGCTTCGTGAGCTCGTGAGGGATACGCAGTTCGTCCCAGAGAGTCAAGAGGCGAGCTTGGGGGGTGGGAAAATAGCGCTTGTAGGGTTCGTACCACATGACGTCGCTGATGGGAGCGAAACCGAAGTCGTCGTCCACATAGTTGAGCTTGAAGTCCACCCCAGCTTTGTTCTCGGCAATCCAGGCCACCAGACAGTCGAACGCAGCCCACACCCGCAGTGAGCCGCGACCTCCGAAAAGATTGCAGCGGTCCACATATCGAACCCCGTCGATAGTGACCACCTGCCGTATCTGCCAGTACGGCGACACGGGCATCCGGCGGTATGCCTGAGAGACATCCGACTTCCACATGATCAGCTGCTCTCCGGCGTGAGCTCTCCGGAACTTGCGGAGGGATTCTCCGAGAGCCGGAATGCCGTCCAACACGGCGCCTTTGATAGCCTCGGGCCTGATCATAGAGTTTAGCGAGTACGCGCCCGCGCTCTGGTCGTTGACAAGGCGAAACTTCTCCGAGTGCGGCTTGGGCACAACGTGGACGGGCATGGAGTACATCCCGGGAAACAGTTCCGCCCCAAAACCCTCAGAGTAGCGGTCGAGGGCAATCTCCTCGTCTCGCTGGGCGCGCAAGAACTGAGCTGCCTTCTCCTCCTGTGGGGCAGGGCGGCGTTCGTCCCACGTGTCCGGGTAGTCGGCCGGCTTGACGTCCGCGTACGGCCAGAAACCCTCCCGCAGCGCACGCACCACGGACTGCACGAAGTCCTGGTTTGGGTGATCGTCCAGGTAGGCGGCGAAGCGGTCGACGTCTATGGGGCAAACAATTTTGAAAAGGTCCGGGTGGTCGCGCAGCGTCGCGTTCACCACGGGGTCCTCCCGGACAGCCCGCGGGACGTCCGGGACAGGGGGGTGTGTGAGAGATACGTCGGCGAAGCGCCGTGTCGGTTTCCTGCGGTCGTCCCACACGAAGGAACGTAGGAAACGCGGTTGTGTGACGTCTTCATGCGGCACGCGCGTTCTTAGCGCATTCGTGTCGCTTATGCCCCCGAGCTCCGCAGGCTGAACATGCGTGTCTGTACGGACACTCGCCGGCCCTGCTAGGGCAACCGGCGCCCTCTTCGCTGTTCCATCGGCGGCACGCGTCCTTTTGGCGCCCTCCAGTGGGGCGTCGCGCGACTGGTCCTCCGTCGCGCGCGGACGCTTGTGCGCGGTACACGTTCGCTCCGCATGCGTCGATGTACTGGAGCCGGAGGTCGGCAAAGTTGTTGATGTCGGTAAGCAAGTATCGCCTAGCTGCCCCGACGCGCTTGCGCACGGCGCGGTCGAAGTCGAGGACGCGCGTGTGGACTTCTGGCGCGAGCGCGCCGAACAGTCCGATGATGTACTCGCCGTAGTCGTCCAGTTCCTCGCGCCGATGGGGGAACGCGAACGTGACCGCGACTGACGCGCGCTTCCAAGCGAAGACCCAGTCGCCAAAGTTGCTAATCTTTTTAGCAGGGACGGGCGCTCTGTAGGATAGCTCGAGCTCCCCGATGCGCTCGGAGACCTTCTCCTCTGATCCGGGTGTGTAGCGCCCTGCGAAGACGTGGTCGAGATCGATCGCGCGTCCGGTGAGAACGTTCGCCCACTCTGCTTCCGGGAACTCGGGCGCGGCGGCTGACGAGTTGATATGACGCTTGGCTTGAGCGAGGTCCTCTCCGTACACTCGTATGAGTTCGAGTGTTCGGGCGACGTGGGGGTGCAACTGCGACTCGAGCAAGAACTCGGACGCGGCCCAGGCGTACGAGGCGGGGTCGACCTTCGCTCGTTTTGACGGCTGTTCGTCCATCTCCTCGCTCGACTCGCGAGACCGGCTGGGTTCAGGCGCTCGAATAGACTCAGGCGTACCGGCGGCTCGACGCTCGCGTTCCGTTCTCTCGGCGTGCTCGGATTGATCCCTTCTGATCCCCTCTCCTGATTCAGGTACCGGCTGTTTCCGTCTGTCGACTTCATCGAGCATGGCGAGGTACGACTGTATGGTAGCGCTGTCGCCGGGGGTTCCGTTCGACTGGGTCTCGGCGCCGACGAGCTGAGTCGCGATAACAAGGAGGGCTTGTGCCTTGTTGATCGTGCCGCCGCGGTAGTCTTCGACTGCCTTAGTGCACTCCAGAAGGACGACCGCTGCTCCGGAGGTAGCCGCTGCTTGTTCTTCCTCTGTCTGGCCATCGTTGGACATGAAGGAAATTTTCTCTGATCTCGATAGATGGGAGTATACGACTGTATAACCAAAAAAGTCGCACTGGCAGCGACGAGGAGAAAGGAGTCGTTAGCAACGACTCCGAAAAGCAGAAAAGCCCGCGCGAGGGCGAACGTTACTCACCTGGCAGCGACGAGGAGAAAGGAGTAAAGGAAACCCCTCCTCGGCTGCCGAAGGCGAGTACCCCCTGCGCGGCACGAAGTCGGGCCGGCGCTCAATTAGGAAATTGGCGCGGCTCGCTGCCCGGAGGCGCGAGACGACGGAGGGACCGGCACCCAGGAAGAGCATCCGGGCGCGGAACGCTGCCGAGTGCGGCGCGATACGGCTGTCCCTCGATTCGACTTG